GTTCAATCAGGGAGGATGAGGTCCTCTTCTAGCAGTTGAGGTAGCTGCTAGAAGAGGACCTCATCCTCCCTGATTGAACTAACCTCGTTATTGCTAGACTGATTCTTGCCTGCATATTTATACCTGCCCCTGGAAATTTCCACTACATTCATCTGACAAAGTGGAGCATAAGCTTTCGTGGGTGAATACCCAATACATCTGTTAGTCGACTCTATAAAGGTGCCATAAGACTCTTAGTCTGGATCTGTAAAAAGCAACAAACACGGCTAACCCTCGGATACTTGATAAATTTCTTTGTGAGCACAGGTGAGAGTTAACATTACTCACTAATTTGATTGACAAGATATTGCACTTGTTTAACCAAACATTTTTTTGAGATTATTACATGTGACAGGGGGAAAATTATGCCAAGCTTAACAGTTATCTTTATAGGACTGCCCTCCTGCATTTGCTGGTTGGGCATAGCTACGATTCCTAGCTAATTCCTGTGGTAGAGAAACTATTTTATCCTCACATATGTGCATGCCTTTATTTCATACATTAAGCAGAAAGGCAGGATTAAAACACAATTTCAGTAAGATAAAACCAGATAGCTGTATGGGTACACTGGTCTACTTTATTGGTATAATTGTAATGGTACAATGTAATGCACAGCCTCAGACTTCATGCCAAATACATGACCTATTACAACACAATTCTCCTGAGATTTTCTATATTCTGGCATTTGAAAAAGAGGACCTGCTCCTTGCACCCGTGGCACTGAAGCCAAATTTTACTGGAGGGGAGACTTCCAGTCTTCATTAGATTCCAGAAAACTGTTCCTCTAGCATACAAAACCAACTCTGATCAGTGAAATAGTTACCTTGTGTAGATGTCCCCTGGCCTCCAGGGTCATTGTCCTCTCCAGCCTGCAAGTCTCTGCTGTGATTCCAAGACCTCTTCAGATTATCAGGTATCACTGGGCCCCAGGTCAGAGAGGCCAATGGAGACGGAATTCTCCTCCCCATCCTGCAGGTCCCTCAACAGCCCATTTTCAAGTGTCTGGATGTTGTCCACCATTATCTCAGACTCCATAGGTGTGCAATTGTTCAGACACAAAGCCGTACACCAGGATGTTACGGCTTACAGAGCATGCCTAAGGTAGATATTTACAAGCACCTGGATCATTGCCTTAGGCCAGCTGGCAGCACGCTTATACAATGTTGTCTTCTTCTGAGACATATTCTGAGGTGGACTTGTTAACACACAGCAGTTGCAAAGAAGTCAATACTATTCATAAATAGTGCACACTGAGATCTAGAGGATGTGCAGAGCTATTTGTATAAGTGAAGGATTTCAGAAATCTTGCCCTTGGACCAGAAGATGGACAAGCTGAGCTACAGAAGCAGCGCCCAATACACTGTGGATGGTCACAGAAGGACTAATTAAATCAGTGAAACTCTTATGCCAGTCACTGCTGTCTATGCTGGCACTGAACCTGCCAGTGCTGATCAACATGGTGACAGATGTCACTGTTGGTCTTTTCAGAGCAAGTACAGCACACCCGTGCAGATACATGGTATGTTTCAGGTTCCAACAGTTGTTAGCATGTCAAATATCACTAATGTAGACAAGACCTAGATGTGACTGGGTAATTCACCTTGCAAATCTCTCTATGATGAATGTTAGCACAGGTACCAAATGGTGTTCTCTTATAATGCAAGATGGACTGGTATCCTCCACTCCTTTGACTTACGTCAAGCAACAACCATCAGATAACTGCTTTTTATCACTACAGACCTGCAAAAGATCTGAACTACAGACTAAGCATTAAGAGCCTCCATACTCCATTACCATTCCCCTTTTCCATTCCACATACAGATAACATGCAATTTCCAAGAAGAAGAAAAGGATTTATTTTAAAAGAGCGTTTTAAAGGATACTATCAACTTGCATTTTTAAATGGAATAGTATTTGTAAAATTCCTGTCTGATAGAGTGTCCTTTAAACAGTATGCCCTGATTTTATTTTTAAAAGAAAATGTATAATATTTTTCTGCATCTCGCTGATGCTTATAAAGGATCTTTACACAGAGGGAGAAAGTGACTGATTATACAAGGAAAACAACAAAAGTGCTGTATGAAAGAAAAAAAAAATCACTGAATACTAAAAAACCTGAAAGACTTTCACCAGTATCTTTCAAATCATAGTAACAATGGGTATTATTTGAAAGTTATGTATCTAGCATACTATTAATCAGAAGTGTGAAGTCTAACAATGTCCCTTTAAGAAAGGTTCTTGATCCCTATAAGCAAGGTGCATGTAAACTGTGGCACAATGGAACAAAATTTTGCAGGTAAGACACCTAAATTCTGGAGGAAAGTTAATCTGTTCATCTTCTTACCTCCTCAGGCCTCAGCTGCTGCTGCATTCTCTAGGCAGCCTAACTGGCCAGCCTGCACTATTGGCTCCTTTCACTCCCTGGCTGCAAACTAAACTCAAGCTCTGGCTCCTTGGCACATACATCACCCAACCACCCTTGCCTGGTTCTATGAAACAGTAAGGTAGCACTATAATCCATTTAATTCGACTTTGTGGGAAAAGGTGCAGGTCAACAGCTGCTGCTTGCTATGTCCCAGCGGGGCAGGGAGACAACACAAGATGTTGGGTGCCCAGTAGCAGCAAAAGTGCTTGATTCTGTAGAATCTTGGAAAAATGCTAGATTCTACAGCCACACAATCAGAGTCCATGAGGTTCCAAATGAGATGATTTGGGATGTTCACATCTCTTAGAACCATTGTTTCAGGTTCTTTGCAAACTCAGACAGGCATTGGGTTGCACAGTTCACATTCTCAAAGTTATCTTCGAAACTATAAGGGCTAGATTTTTTTTATTTATTTATTTTTATTAATTAAAGTAAGAAGTTGAGATTCTGGATCACAATTCTGTGGGAAGGGCTGAATTCCATTGCAAATTCCACAGTCACAGAATCCATAAGGACCTAACCATAGGCTCAGCTTCTAAATGCTATCTTAGAATTACACTTTATCTAGTCTCTTACATAGAGTGATTAGCTATTGTACACATTTGCATGGTCTTTGAGCATTCTAAATTTTCTCCATCCCTTTAAAAGAGGAACTATTTTTATTCTTCGGTTACTCTTCCCCTTTCCCAAGCTGTCTTTTAAACACCATCTGACTTTCCTGACTCCAATTCCCTTCTATGGCAATCTGGATGCTGCATCAGCTTGGTTATGCTGACTTCCTCTGAGGCCAGGCCTACACTTAAAAGTTAGGTCAACACAGCTATGTTATGAGGGATTGGGGGGGGAAAAACCACATCCCTGACCAATCTAGTTATGCTGACCTAATATCCAGTGTAGACACTGCTATTCTGAAGGAAGACGACTTCTGTTGATGTAGCTACCACTGTTTGGGGGAAATGGTATTCCTACACCAAACAAACAAAAAAAGTCTTCCATCTGCATAGACTGCATCTACATGGCACTTTAAAAAAAAAAGATTGTGGGCTGGCCCATGCCAGATGACTTGGGCTCACAGGGCTCAGGCTGTGGAGCTGTTTAACTGTGGTGTAGACATTTGGGCTTGGGCTGGAGCCTAGGCTCTAGGACCCTGTAAGGTGGGAAGGTCCCAGAGCCCTAGACTGCATGCCAAGCCCAAACATCTATACTGCAATTAAACCGCCCTACAGCCCAAGCCCTGCAAGTCCCAGTCAGTTGGCACAGGCTAGCAGCAAGTGTCTAACTGCAGTGTAAACATACCAGCGTAAGGGGTTATCCTTTGTGTAGTCATATCTTGATATCCAGAATTCTTCCTATTCTCACACCCTACTACTGCTGGCCTGAGAAGTAGAAGGCTAGGCTTCAATTCTAAAACTCACATTTCACTGCTGGCACTTTTCTAATTGGACTCCCCAAGCCTTTCCTACTCACTTCAGACTATGCTAAGAAAATTGAGGCAAATAAGTTTTAGCACAAAGCTTTCTTCTTTTAAATGCTGAAATCAGGAAGAAAAAAGTGGAAGGGAGGGTATACAAGCGTGTCTCTCCCTCCATCCCAGTTTTGGTCCCAAATAATCCTAAAGTCAAGAGCCAGACCACTGCCAATTCTTTCAGCCAGAGATCCATAGTGTCCCTCTACCCAGCAAGAATATTCTGAAGGGCTTGCTCCTCAGTGGGACTCTTACTACATTAGCTAAAACTTATTTTAGTAAAGCAGAGTAACAACATTGGTAATTTAAGCAAGAAACGTTATCACTGATCTCTCTTTTAAAGGACATTCCAAAAACAACTACAGATTTCATTACAGTCAAAATAGAAGACTGTGTGTGTTCAGTTTGTGATGTTATAGCACTGGGATTCCTCAGGAACCCAACATTCATTTGAAGCAATTATTCTTTCAAGTATTTTTTTAAAGCACATTTCTATATAGAGCATTTCAGTTTAGTAACACCAGATTTAAGAAAGAATGTGATTGGAGGTGTCTGACACTAGCATTTCTTCAGTGTTTACTAAAATTAAGTTTACGTTTGGGATTTTAGTAAGACTCATATGAAAATCCTGCATATCTCAGAGTCCAATATCAGGTACATAATTTAAATTTTTTAAAAAATCCTTTACAACCTCTGAGGCCTGGTCTACACACCTAAAATGTAGGTTGACACAGCTATGACACCCAGGGTTGTGAAAAATCTATACCTCCTGAGAACCATAGCTATGCCAACCCAATCCTGGGTGCAGACACAGCAAGGTCAAGGAAAGAATGCTTCTGTTGACCTTGTGAGAGGAAATTGCTTGGGAAATTGGTGTTCCTACAGCAAAAATGTCTACCTCTGGTAGCTATGCCACTGTAGTGCCTGCAGTATAGACAAGGCCTAAGCCTAACCTCAAAATACTTCAAATACTGCTATACACTGTTTTGGATTCATTTATCAGTTGGTTTTGCCACTGCTAGATCAGCCAGAGTGAGAGAAATAATTATAACATTCACCTAAGCACAATTTGAAATAGATGTTTTTCCCCCAACGCAAAAAAATCTCCAATAAAGATAATGACAAGTGTCTAGATTATGATACCTACACCTTTCTCCAGCAATTTTCTCCCT